TACTCAGGGCCCCAGAGAGAAATCCAGAGCTCCCAACGTGCTCACAGTAGAAGTGCTTTTTGAGTTAACCATTACCTAAAGTACATTATGCATTTGTTTACATCCACCAGGCCTCCATTCAGCCCAACCATTTTCAAGGGATGGAAACATGCGGTTCAAGGCTAAGTCTCTCAAGGCTCACACAAAGAAACTAGCTCGATACATGCAATTTGGAGAAGATGGATTGAAAGAACCATCCATAAAGTAAGGAGGCCAGAATTTGCATTCGCTCTTACTGGGTATCTAACTGTCTAATCCAGACACTGTTATATCTTCTCTTAATTAATTCTAGGTAAGATGTGGACCATTTTCTAGGTGAGGAAATCAAGGCTCAAAGAGACCTAATGTGTGCCCCAAGTCACACAAGTAAATGGCAAGACCACAGATTTGGACCCAGGTCTGTGTCATTCCCATGAAATTGCTTCTTCTACTGCGCTGATGGTTTTCAGCTTCCCTTATCATAATATTCCATGTCTCACTATTTATTCTCTCAAAAGAAACACTGCAGAACAGTATTTCTATCACAGGAGGGAAAAAAAAAGAAAAAAGATCCATCCAAAGTCTGCGGAGGACATAGGGAGGTTTAAAGACACTCTGTTCCATGATAATTTATGGGAGCTACTACGGACATAAACACTGCAATACTGTTTTAGGGAGTATGCTCTATTTGCTATGGATTTTAAATACAAGCAAAATGAACATGTTCACTGGTAGGTGACAAGTATGGTAATGACAATAAGTAAAAATAACCAGTTCCCAGACAAAATGTAAGTGATGTGTGCCAGGTCTGCTCTCCAGAGTTAATAAATCACTTTTGTAGGTGGACACTATTATAAAACTCCCCATCTCTGGTGACAGCAGAACCAGCCCTTGGAAACCACAGTGCCACCCCCTGCTGCTTCTGCAAGGCTCTGGGCCTAGCAGAAGTGCAAACCTGCCTGCAGCTCCAACCCAGTCTGTTCTCTGCCAACAGCCTTTTAACCTGTCAGCCTTCCTCTAAACCCACCAGCAGCCCTCACCAACATGCAGGAAAGCCTGAGCCACAAGGCTCACATCCATCGTTGCTGATGGGGCAGCAATAGGCCCTCTGGAGTGGTCTGAAATTTGGGTAGTTTTTGCTGTCCAAATAACTGGAGACCCCCATTAAAACTGTAGAGAGGAAGGGTATCTGGGATTTTTGTGTCCTGTGACATGCAGGAGCATGTCATGCAAAGAATTGCCTGTGTTATGCACTTTGTTGGAATCATCCACCAAAATCCTATTTGCTGGTATCTGAATCTTGAGTCTAACTCATTTTTATATACGTAAAGACAAGAGAGGTTTTTTGCATGGTTTTAGAACTTCCTTAATCTTCCAGAAATGCAAAGTACTGTGTACTGTGTATTTTGCACAAAGATTTACTTGACTTTGATTTAAAAAATAATAAGAATGAAAAGTCTTCACCAGATTTGGAAATGACACTGCTGATGGATGATGTCCCTTTTATTTTTAAAATATATGGCATTTGTTTGTTTGTTTGTTGGTTTGTTTATCACAGTATTGGGAATTGAACACAGGGTTTCACACATCAGGCAAGCGCTTTACCACTGAGCTACATCCCCAGCCCTCTTTCATGATATTTAAGTCAGCAGAGCAGCAATGCTCGCCTTGGTTGGCCTATGAAGCTCCTGTATTCAAGACCATTCTTTATAAAGAAAGAAAAATGCGAACGTAGCATTTATATACTAAAATGCATACTGTTTATTATCAGTTTATTTCCTTTTATTTCTCTCATATGTTATTACAATTACTCTATCATATTGATTTGCTTTAATTAATTTGAGTAGGAAGGTTATGTTAGCTCTGGATTTAATTACAGGCGAATAGAGGAGACTTGAGAAAATACTGGACTTAATCAGAGTTGGATGTGACAGGATTAACACTGCTCTCCATGGCATGCCCAGTCTTAAACTCTGACCCTAAAATTCTCTCCATCTCCTCTCTACCCACCACACTAATCTTTGGGCTTCCTTTCAAATTGGTCCAAACCTCAGGGTGTCCACTCTTTGCTGATTCTTTTGCATGAAATACCAGTCTTTGGATTTCATCCAAGCCCTCGTCTTTCAGGTCTTCATCCCCTGCAAGAGGGCCTCCGGAAGGACCACTCAAATCACTCTCTATCCCCATTGTTCATAAAATTCCCCCACAGTACCTAAGTCCACCTAAAATTCTGTTTTGATATTTTACCGATCTAACCAGGCACAGTAGGGCACACCTGTAATCCCAGCAACGCAGATCAAAAGTTCAAGGTCAGCCTGGGAAATTTAATGAGATTCTGCCTCAAAATGTAAAATAATAATAATAATAAAAAGGACTGGGGATGTAGATCATTTGTAAAGTGCCCCTGAGTTCAATCCTAAGTAAAACACACACACACACACACACACACACACACACACACACACGTTTTAACCTTTCGTGTCTCGGTCATAAGAACATGCACTCCTGGGGGTGATGGGGGTTGCTACTTTGGATGCCAGTGTCTGGAACCTGGGAAAGTGACACAAAGTGAACATTTGATGAATATTTCTTAAGTGAATGAATTAATGCATGAAGCTATTGCCTGTGTTCCTGCTGCCTAGGAGCTAAGAGAAATTTCTTTTCTTTTTTTCCTATCTACATAATTTATAGCCAATCTAAGTCAGCGTTAATTCTTTCAAATATATCCATCAAATGCCTACCATGTTTCAGACACTAAGAATACAATAATAAATAAGACATATCTGCCCACATACTTTGCAATTAATGATCAGCTCCAGCACCTCTGAAGCATTTGAGTCTTACAGTAAAGTGACTTTAAAAAAAAAATAACTATTTCTGTTTTGTATTCTGAGTATTTTAAAAATACGATAATTATGATATTCATAAATTACGAGTTATCCCTCCTATGTTGAGAAGAAAATTTCCTATCACTTACAGAAGAATTTTACCCATGCGGAAAAGCTTCCCTGCAGTTCCTGACGATATCCTCTTCAAGTCCCCAAAGCATCACCCCTCGAGACAGATGTAGACAACCAGATCCGGCTGATGTCTAAGACCATGGAAGCTTCTCATTCCACCCAGTGGGTTGGCCTGCAGACTCTTCCACTTGCCCAGCGGAGGTGAGGTTCCCTGAGGTGCAAAGGGACCAGCCATGCTCTGGAGGACCACAGTGACTAGACATATCCACTCCACCTTCTCTCTCGGCCTGTTCTGTGCCAGCACCAGCCCTAGCTAATGAGACAAAGTCAACCCCGGATGCTCCAGGTAGGAGTTAACCATTCAGACTCTCTCACCTCCCCTACTGTGTGGCCAGACACCTTTCCTCCATGCTGAAGAGCAAGATGAAAGCAACCAGAAAGTTAATAGAGTCCACATTTATGTACAGAACTGTACAATGGGCTTTCTCATCCACTTTTACATGTATAGGAAAGAGAATAAAACCTCATTTCTACAAATAAGTAGATTAAAGTTCAGAGGTTAAGCAAATTGGCAAAGATGCAACTTATACCAAAGTCCACTGATTCCGAGTTGTTAGGAAACAGAAATGACAGGCTAAAATCAGGGTTGAGTTTTAATTGTCACTGGCATAGAACTTCACATAAGGAGCTGGCTATATCAGGTGATGATCAAACGTGAACAAATTTCAACTCAGTGTCTATCTGGGCACATACCCTCTTCCTGTTCCCCCTCCTGCCCCAGACCCCACAATTCCATGACGTCTGATTATTATTCCCAAAAAGCTTCCAGGCTTGAGCAAATACTAGAGTGAGCCATAATGAACTTGCACCCCTTCCCTGACTTTTAACCATGCACATGACAACCACCTCCTTTCTCCCCGCCATCTTACTGTTGAGCAGGCCCAGTACAATAGCATGAGACGGGGGCATCTCAAAAGACCTATATGAAGCCAGATGGAGTGGTACCTGCTTGTAATCCCAGCTATTCTGGAAGCTTAGGAAGGAAGATTGCAAGTTCAAGACCAGCCTGTGCAACCTAGCAAAACCCCTTCTCAAAATATAATTAAAAAGGTCGGGGGGTGTAGTTCAGTGTCAGAGCACCCCTGGGTCCATTCTCCAGTACCGGGTGCAGGGGAGAAAAACATACAATGCTTGGATTATTGTGGAAAATATACCATTCCTTTTCTTAACAAAATAGATCAAGAATAAAATAAGTTAACAATAATCGAAAGGATCCATAGGGCATATCTAGAGAGATGTTGGGTGATAATTCATAGCTGAGTTGGCATTCCTCTAAGGTAATGCAGAAAGGTAGAGTTATGTTGGCTCTTAGGACAAGAATTTTAAGTCCTCTTAAAAGACTACCACTTCCAAAGAATTTCAGGAGTTTCAACTTGCTGCAAATACACACATGTCAAAGGAAAAAGCACCAACCCCCTCCAGAGTTCTTATCTTTCTCCCCACTCTTAGCATGGTTTGGTTAAACTGGTTATTGAGATCCTCTGCCTCTCCCAACCTCAACTTCCTTGGAGTAAATCCATGGCTGTGTTCTCTGACTCTCCTTCCAGAGTCCCACGTCAGAGGGGTGCTGACTCTGGGTCCTGTCGGGGTTTCCTGGGTTCACCTGAGGTGGAGGTCAGTCACTGGCACGGGCCGTCCCTTCCAGCTAATAGGCTAGAGGCAGCAATGTGCAAGGGAGAGAGCCAGGCCAGCCGAAAATAGAAACATGAGCTACATCCTGATGTGACCAGGCTCCCAATCTGGCTGAATGTGGCCCATTGGATGAGACAGGGAACAGAAGTGAATGCAGGATGAGAGATGAGGTGATCATCAGCTTGTTGGAGGGGAAAAAAGAAAAAAAGAAATTCACAACACAACCCTCAAAGCTTGTCCTGCAAACAGAAAGGGTACAGCAAACTTCACAGTGAAAAGCATCTGAGCATAAGAACTTTACCTTTCTGGGGACCAGCTCATCCAACTTACCACTGGTAATTAGTGTGTTGCTGTGAGGTTTATTCCACTGAGACAGAGAGTAATGATTACATTTCACCTCTGAAATGTAAGAGGAAGTGAGTTATCAGCGTTAGTCCCCCCGAAGCCCCAGGAATACAAAGGATAGCTGACAAAGTGCAAGGAATTATTCTCTTCCTGACCCCAACCATCTCCTGGCCCCCAAAAGAAGAGCTTGGTCAAGGTGGGTGTTACCTTAGAGGACAGCTGGACATTTCCTCCTTTGCATAAGAGTCAGTCTGCCTTTTTGTGTTCCCAGAGGGAAAACGGATGAGAACCATAGTGATTCCAGAACCCGTGAGCTGGCGTCTTGGTCGCAATGTATCAATTATCTCATTATGAAGCAAAGGATTCAAAAAAGGCTGTGTGGGTCAGACTGGGCAGAGATGCAGCGGACATCTGAGCCTCCACTGGACAAGGAAAATCAGTCAGGGAGAAACAGAAAGAATGAAGAGGGAGGGAATGGAAAAGGGAAGGAGATCCAGGATTCCCAAGGAAAAGGCTTTCCTTTCTCTTCCCCAAAGCCTCCAGGGAGGAATAAATATAATTATCAACCTAGCAGGACAGCCTTCGAAACAAAAGAGGCACCTGCCAGGTGACCATCTCTGCCGGGACTCGAACCCGGAACCTCTGGATTAGAAGTCCAGCGCGCTCGTCCATTGCGCCACAGAGACCTCACCACACACACAGCATCAGCACCAGAACTGAAAAAGCACATACCTTCTGCATCACCGAGCCATCTCAGCATCCTGCTCTCTGAGCGGTGGGGGGGGACAGGGACAGCTGGAAAATCTGGAGTGGAGATCCACCAGCCGGCTCCATGAAAGCCTTCCTCAATACTGTGGGTCCTAGGATTCTCGGAGGGTAGGAGGAATGTGACAGTGGTCATTTTGCCAGTCTCAGCATCTTTATTGATAGGGTAGGACAGAGCTAGAGTCTCTGCTCTCCTTTCCTCTCCATCCCTTGGGAAGGATGCGGGAAAGTCTTCCTATTCTCATGCTAATGAAGGCGAGTGCACCCAGCCTGGCCGAGAAGGCAGAAGCCATCTCCACCTCCACCCCCATTCCTTCACTGTGGTTTCATCCTGGTCGCTCGCTCGCTCGCTCGGTCCAGCTATTCTGAGGCTGGGGCTGGGCAAAGCTGGGGGATTCGGGAAAACCCTAGATCTCAGAAACAAAGGAGCTGCTTCTGTGAAGAAACACTGAATGGCGGCAGAGAGAGTGGCAGGAGAGAAAGCTGGGCTGCAGGAAACTGGCCCGCTCCTCGGCTGTCAGAATTGTATCTGTCGAGCCCAGAGAAGAGGTACCAGGAGTCTGATTTGCTGTGCCTTCAGCATCCTCACTAGAATTAAGGTTGGGAGTGGAGACGGAGCAGTATAGTGTGAGTGTGTACGTGTGTGTGTGTCAAAAATTAAGAGTTTGCGTGTGTACACGTGGGGAGGGCGGATAAGAGTGGCATTTCTTTAATGAAATACAAGTGGGTCTCACAGTTAAGGGACACAGTCTTTGAAAACCTGTGTCCCTTCCCCTGCACCGACCCTATCCCTTAAGTCCCTACAATTCTTTCCATTCAGGGAAAAATTTTTTCCTAATTTAAGAAAGGAGGATTTCTCAGCTTTCCAAGTTAGCTAGAGGCATCCAAGTATAATTGAACTGACTATCCCTCCATAACCATATATAAAAGACTCCCATACCTAGCTCAGATCCAAAAAAAATCTTTTCCCATTTTCAAAAGCCTCCCCAAGAAGATTGTAGAATTATCACTGTTGTTCATAATTTCCACTGTGGCAGTTCTTTGGAATGTCTAATCCAAGTCCTTCTTATACTACTCTCAGCTCATTTTCTCCTATCTTGTCCCAGACACACTGGGATAATTGACCTCTATGCTTCCAATGCTAATGCACTGATTCAAAGATTTGATTCAGTGTCTACCACCCCACTCCCTCTCAAAAGGTTACAGGGAAAGCAGAGAGCAGACTCCCCTCCTCCTCCCTCATGGTGTCTCCTCAACCCACAGCTCGGAACGCTGACAGTAGACTCCAATCATAACGCAAGGTAGTCCTAACCTGTCAGACCAGGCGTTGGGCAAGTAAGGGACCAATATAAATACCCACACAGGAAGAGCTTCAAGGACTCTCCACATTCCAAGACAGCACTTGAACTCACACTCTCTACCCATCCTATGGCCCCAAGAATGAGACCCGGTAGGAAGTTCCACCGAGGCGATTCAGGGCCGGAGTGAAAGCAGGAAACTCTAGCACCAGGGGGGAAATCAACACCTGCTTCAACCCAGATGGCCTTCCACATAGGACCTCCAGCCAGGCGCTCAGAAAAGTGAAACCAATGTCCATTATGAACTTACAAGAAGGAGGCAAAGAATTGGTCTTTCTTAATACATTTACCCTAGACTCGTTCAAGGACAAAACTGAATGCCAGCAGACCCTAGAGTACTCCAAGTGGCCACTAAGCAGGGGCTGGTCAGGGAGCAGTTCAAAGAAGCCCAGGTGTCTACAAAGGGAAGCTCAATCTCACAGGCCAGCAAAGAGCTGCTCACATGCAAAGGAAAGGCAAGGTCAGCCTGGGAGGACACTTCCTGCCAGGCCCATGATCTTTTAGACACACACACACACACACACACACACACAGCCTTTGGTTTCAGCAAAGACACTGCCCTATACCCAAGAAACCTGTCGCTCCCTAGTTAAGCCCAAAGCTGCACGGCCTCTTAGATCATGTGTTCTCCACCACCTCAGGGTAGAGGCCCCCCATCTTCCACTCCCTTGGGAGCTTCATTCATTTGCAATGCTCTCACTGGTTGCTGGGGATGAGACAGAGAAGGTAAATCCCACCCTCAAAGATCCTGCAGGTAAATTCCAATATGGATATGACCCTGAATGATGTAGGGCAGAAAACAAGGAATCATTCTGTGGCCTAGCAAATAAGGAGTCAAGTTTCCAAGGCCTCACAGAGACCCTGTTGCCTGGGTCTCTTCCTTCCCTTGAAATCCCCCTCCTTCAACTTCCTCTCGCTTTCCCACAGAAATCTCTCTATTCCAAGGGAAAAAAAAAAAAAAAAACAACTTTTTCAGGGACACTCTGTACTTATAATCTGTGTCAACAAAAATACTGAACTTTGTCTCTCTGACATCTTTTATCATCCGTAAGATAGACAGGCTTCTCAGCAGTATGAATAATGTCTCCTAACTATGTTTCCAATTTAAAAATAAGGTAGGAAACAATCAAATAAAGCTAGAACGTTAAAGGGGCAGGAAAGATGAGGTTAAGCCACTCAAAATTGGCTGGGGACAGTACATTTTTTTCTTCTTTTAAAGCAGGTATATGCTATTTGTGATTATGTAAACCCTTAAGAAGAAGATAAGTACATTTCCTTTCCAAAAAAAAAAAAATACTGATTTAATTCTCCAAAGATCTGTGACTCAAACATTACTCATGCCTCTAATTGAATACCACTCAGTGACCCTACAGACACACTGTGATGCTCATGCATTTATTTCATTCATAAAGTGTTGCTGGGATACATATGACAAATACAAAAAGAAAAAATTTTTCTCTTTGGTCCAGAGGAGGGAAAAAAAATCACAATCAAATCCCACATTCTACATGGTCTTAGAGCTTTCCTAAAGGAACCTATATCAACTAGTCCATATTTTAAAAACTAAAGGATATTACCCGAGCAAGACAAAGAGAGGGTTATTTTGGATGGTGCCTCCTCAGACATTTTATTTTCATCTTCCAGTCCTGACGACATTCCCAACCCTATTTGTTCAGTCCAGTGTAAATGCTTTCCATATACCATCTCCTCGCACCTCCACCTGTGGTCCGTCAGCTCCCTCTTACTAGCTTACCCCTGGGAATCCACCCGCCTCATGGCTCCTGTGAGCACCTCCCAGGAAGGTCGAAAAAGGTGGTTGGCAATATTGGGCCTCTGGTGCCAGGCCTACTCTGCAGAATCCACAGATGGTCAGCTCTTAACTCCCTAGCCCTTAAAGAAGGATGAAATGGACATACCTATCACCCAAGGTCCTTCCATTCTTCCATCCTTCTGGAATCCTGTTCCCTGTTCATTGGCCGACTCCTGTCATGTGTGTTCCTAACCCATCACACGGAAGCACCCATGTTCCCAAAGCCTCCTGTGTCCCTCCTTCCTGCAAATGGTTTGCTTCCTCCTCACCCTGCTTTGCTCTTCCCTGAGAAGGAAGATGGGAGATAATCCAGGTAATAATCAAACCTGAGAATCAAACTCAAGGAAGACCAATGCAGAGCCAATTTTCCTCCCTCACTCATCTCCAGCTTTCAGAGAGCATTCCCGGTTAGCTCAGTCCAGCTAAGTGACACAGTCCTCGCAAGCATTCCAGAAAAGTAGACCCAGGCCACTCTAACCGGTCAATGCGCTGTACCCTGGAGGTAGTCAAGGTCACAGTGACTTCCCTGCAGACGTCAACCCCCTAACAATAGTGGAGCAAATGGAGATAGAATCTTTCTCAGCTCCCTGTCTTTCTCCTGCCTCTGCAGTCTTCTCCAGGAACAGTCTAGACAATTCCGGAGTATGTCTCCAAGGAGAGCAAGTCTCCCTCTGGCCGGGAAGGATGGGGGCGCCAGCAGTTTTGATGGGTGGAAGGGCAATGGCCACCAGATTCCACCTGATCTTTATGGGAATTTAGGAAAAAAAAAAAAAAAACTTTCTGGTTCACCCAGACCCTCCAAAAAATGCGTCAATTTTTGGTGCCAACTCCCCGTGTCAACCCCACTTTTCCTCTGTGGAAGGTGGGCTCTCTATGCCTCTGTTTCCAACCCCCAGCCCATCGCTTTCTTGGGTCCCCACTTCTGTCGTCTTCCAGTTCCTCTCCACCATCCCCACCAATGTCTCCTTCTTCCTCAGGACGCATAACCCTCAGTCAGTTCCTGCTTTAAGATGTCCCTCTCCCCTCGGTCCACACCTCTCATGACTCATGTCCATCGCACTTCTTCCCACATTCTGCAGCTGGCATTCCCTGATCCTCTCACCATCCTGTCGCTCTCTGGAAAAGTTCAATTTCTTGGCCGAGCCCCACTCGGTGCTTAGCTACTCCAAACACTTTTGCCCAGACTCACTGCTCCTGGTCTCTCCCAGCCTCAGCCCACTACCCTTTTCGACCTCTGTGCCTTTTAGCCATCATCCTAAGCCTCCCCGAGTCTCCCCAGCCTCCAGACTCCTCTCTCATGACGCTGGGCTGCTACCCAGAGTCTGAGTCACCATCAGCCCTTCAGCCTCAGGCCCTTTGTTCCTCCCTCCGGATTTCATCCTTCAGACTTCTTTTCTCACCCATCATCCATTTAGTCCTGGTCTCCCCAGAGACAGACTCCTTCTGAAGGCACAACCGATAGTGTCTGTTCCTGAGTCCCTTTCTACTCAGGCCACCTGGTGCCAGCTTCCTGAGGATCACAGGTTTAAGGCCAGCCTGGGCAACTTCCGTTCTCCCCCCCCCCGGTTCACCTTCAGATACCCGGGGCTCTACGACACTCTTGTGCCTCTTTAACTCTTTGCCTAGGACTTCTGTGTGTCACAGGATTTACAACTGAAATGTCCTGACCGGGGCTCTGCTGATACCCACGGCACTGAGTTTCCATGGATATGAGCTGGAAAGCAGTCTCCTTCGTCTTTATGGTTACTGAGGGACCCTGGTCCCGAAAGGTCAGGGACTCTAGGCCAGAGATCAAAGAACAGAAGGCAGATCCTTAAAGAGTCAATAATCATACAGAGATTCAAAAGCATTGGAATATTACAGGTGAACTGGGCTTTCTCTGTCATTTGCTTGCTATAGATGACATTTCACATTCATCCTGGAAGGAACCTTGAGGTGAACCTAGTCAAGTACTAGGTGTTCCTCTTTCACATTGTGTCAGTTTAATTAAAAAAAAAAAAAAACATGATAGTGGTGGTGCATGCTGTAATCCCAGTGGCTCAGAGAGCTGAGGCAGGAGGATTGCAAGTCTGAGACTAG